ACCCGACCCGAACACCCAATCCCAATCCCAAACCCTCCTCAACCCCTTCATGCCCTCCTTCCAGACACCACCGCCGCCGCCCCATCCCCCGGCCGGATCCGACACCGCCGCTCCCACCACCGCCGCCGCCCCTCCGCCGGCGGCGCGAAACCCGAGAAAGAGATCCCGAGCCTCCCGGCGCGCCCCGACAACCGTTTTGACAACAGACACCACAAACTTCCGGGCCATGGTCCAGGAATTCACGGGCATACCGGCGCCGCCGTTCGCCGGCCCATCCTTCCCCCGCCCCAGCCGCCTCGATACCCTCCTGGGCTCCAGATCCGCCCTCGACGCCGCCGCCACGCCCTACCTCCGCCGGCCCTTCTCCCACCGGGGGCCCACGCCGCCGCCGTTCTTCCTCCCAACCTCCGCCACTACTAATAATAATAATAATCTTTTACTAAGCATCAATAATAACACCGAAAATAACGATAACAACAACAATCAGAGCCAAAACCAGCTTTTCACCTCACTCCTCCAAACAAACCCCTCCAAATTCGTATTCTCCGGCGCCGCCACGTCATCGTCGAAGCCCGCGTTCCATTTCCAGCAGGACGATATAAAAAACGGGCCGGGCCTGGACGCGTTCGGGCTGGGTGTGGGCCATGGGGGCCTCAACGACCTCCCGAGCCTTGTCTCGTCCGATCGGGCCGCGGCCCGAAACGATGGTGATCAGGACGAGGAGAATGCGGCCAAGTGGAGGAGGAATAATAGCAGCAGTGATGCTAATCAGGGATATAATCAGGCCCGAATGAAGCCCGTTAACGGGGGATTCGATTTTTCGGGCCCAAACTCGTCTGGCCCAGATAACAATATTCCCACAAGCAGAGTAGGAGATCAAGGTATGGTGGAATCGTGGATTTTTTCTTCAGAGTAGAAATGATTACCAGTTTAGAAAGTGAGATGGGGTAATTATGAGGGCTATCATTAAAATGTTGATTTTTTTTCTTTTTTAATGACGAAAAAAAGTTTCATTATATTATTAGTAGTGGTGAAATTCTTGATTTTTTGGAAACCAAGATTTTCACGAAAGTTTATTTTAATTTAATTTTAATGATGATTATAACAATGTAGTGATGATATATAATTTGCTTAAAAATTGTTGTGTAAATAATAATAATAGTTGTCCTCCTAATTGTTTCCAATTGTCTGCGTGCTATTCTCTACCTGTAATGAGATGCTAAATATTTTT